TGTGGGTGGGTGTGGGTGTGGGTGTGATTGAAAAATAAGCGAATTAACAATGAAAAATTGTAAAAAACCAGAAAACCAAGTAAGTAAATAAATAAATGAATAAATATTTGAATAAATATATAAATGAAAAAAGATTTGTTTAGTTATGAATAAATAGAATTGAAAAAATGAATAACTTTTGAGAAAAAACGACAAAAAACAAATAAATTATTTTTTAATAAATTTATATTAAATTTTTGACTTTTTATTCAAATTTTTTTGATAATTTTAATTGTTTTTGGTTTATTTTATTATATTATATGATTTCTTAGTAAAAGGAGCTACTTTTAGTGAGATTGAAATGAAAAATCAATAAATTTTAGTGAATTTAAGAAACCCTAGAGTTTGATAAATAAATTTATAAGTTTGAATCAAAAAAAATGTTATTTTTATCTAGATTTGGAAAAAACTTATTTGATTTGTTAAATTGAGAGTTTCTGAATGAAAATATATGAGTTTTAAAGTGAAATATAAATGTTTTAATAAGGAAAAATTAAGTTTTATAGTTTGTATTGAGTTTTTAATAGAGATGAATAAATGAAGAATTTATGATATAGATAAATGAATAAAGAAATTTAATGAAAGAGAAAAATAATCTTTTTTGTTTTTTGTATTTTAGTTTGTCAAATAAGTCAAGAAATAATAAGCATCCTTTTTAAGTGAAACTAGAGAAATGAGTAAGAGAATTTAAATACGAATAAATAATGGAAAAAGAAACAAAAATAAATGTTTTTGGCAAGAAAAAACCAAATACTAGTTTAAGAGTAAAGAGAGAAATAAATTTAGGATAAGTTTTAGGTTAGAGAGAATCTTTTTAAGAGTTTGAGAGCAAACTTATTTTTTGACAAATTTTAAGATAATTTTAAGTTTTTTTTGTAATTTTATATAAATTTTAACAATAAATGAATTATAACAATAAATAATAACAAATAAATTTGTAATAAGCGGCGCGTTTCGAATTTTCTTCAGGCTATGAATGACTATCTTTTCTTTTCTCCATTTCCTCTATCTTTGCTCTCGCACATGTTCCTCTATACTGTTCCAATCAGATAATTTCTCCTATTCTATGGGAGCGTACTATTCTGACCAACTCATATTATTTTTATATATTTCTATTTCTCAACACAATCTCAATGGTGTGGGTGCCAAGGAAGGGAGTTTCTCAAAAAAGCTCGACTCAAAAAATTAATATATTTATTTGCCACTCTACCCTCCGTGAGGGGAGCAGCTATTCCTAACTATCTATCTAAGAGGGAGTGGGTGTGGGTGTGTATATGAAACTAAATTTCATTTAATAGCGCAAGCAATATTTATGACGCGTTTCGACCTTGCTTAAGGATCATCTTCAGGTAAGTTTGGCTATTAAATTTTAAAGTGTTGCTATTTAATCCTAAGTCTAGAAAATCGAGACAGTTCATGTGAAAGTTTCGAAGAAGGAAACAATCTCTGAACCGCCAATCTATATTTTCTAGAAGGATCGCAGTTATTTCTAAAATTTTCGACAAATCAAGTCAAAAATTTTTAAGAAATAAAAGTAGTCGCAGCTAATTTATATTCAAGAATAAAAGATGTTCAAGAATACATATGGATGTGGGTGTGGGTGTGGGTGTGGGTGTGGGTGGGGTGGGGTGGGTGTGGGTGTGGGTATGGGGTGTGGCTCTGGGTGTGGAGGTGTGAGTGTGCGTCTGGGTGTGGGGGTGTGGGTGGGTGTGGGTGTGCGGGTGTGGGTGTGGGCGAAAACAAGACCCATACCTACAGCCTCACTCACACGCACACCCACACCCCACCCACGCCCACACCCCACCCACGCCCACACCCCACCCACGCCCACACCCACACCCCACACGCACACCCACCCACACCCACACTCACACCTACACCCACACCCCACACGCACACCCACACCCTCTAACGCCTATATCTATGGCTAGCGTCGTATAAGTGTTTTTTTTGTAACTCCTTATACCTATCTCTAACCCCTGATATTTATCTATTTGTAATTCTCCATACTACTCTAACCCACGTTATATCTATCTGTTTCTAAACTTTTTTCCCGCAACCATCTATATCTAACCTGTCAATGGATATGCCTAATCACCTATACTTGTATATCTATGTGCTTTTGTCTCTGTGTATTCCCTATATTTACATTTATACTGGTTTGTCGAAACATATGCTCGTATGGTCTACTACTAACCAGTACGTTTGTCTCTGCTATCTGCGTTAAAGTGAAAATGAACACATGTCGCATTCTTTTGAACTAGGATGAAAACGAACGTTAGAAAGAGACACGAAAATAAATATGTTAAGGATATAAATCCAGATAGGACATTCATCATATGATACTAATGGAGATCAGCAATTTGCGATGTCGATGCTTTCAACTAATAGGCATTGAAAAGCTATAGCAAAACCCGGATATATATTGATTCTTCAAAACGAAATATAGAAAACTGTTGATCGAGCAGATAGTATGTTTCTTTTGATAAGATGTCAAAATTTTACAGGTGCAGCAAGGAAATTTGGATTGTCGCATAAGTGAAGCGTTCTGTATTGTCTGCAGAAGGAGCTTTGTGTAGAAAAGTAACTGGTTAATTTATGGTAAAGTTCCAAAAAACCTCAAAGGATTCGTTCGACCCCTTTTTTGCGGTGTAATGCATGTACGCATCCAGCGAGTACGGCTTGCCAGCATGAGTATTCAGATTGCTGGCGCAACCCCTAAAGAGATGTTGTATGTATCGGTACTTTCAGATTACTTTAACGAGTACTCATATGTATTTTTCTTTGCGGATTTACACACTAGGGAAAGCATGAGTACTCAATGTGGCACTGACGCTCATTTCTTCGCAGAATATTTAGCAAAACATCTATCCATTAGAATGTAAAAAAGTAGATTAGCGTTATAAACTAAAAAAACAATAATTTACTCAAATCAAACGTAGAGAAAATGTGCTTGAATTACTTATCTATTTTTCCTCTATTCTTTTCTGATTAGCTATTCATAGTATTTTAATTAATGTTGACCTTATGAAAACAAAAACGGCCTTTCATTTTCAGTTATTTTTTTCATGTACGGTAAGGTTGAATATTTGTTTAAACGTATAAATGAAAACTCGTTCTAATTTCATTTCCGAGTTTTAGATAAAACTTCCTTCTACATTCAATTGCAGTTTCCAGTTTAACTGTGAAAAGCAATGAAACAAATGTTGACTAAGAAGTTTTGTAACAACTCGATTGCGATTTTTAAGAGGGCGTCCATGAGATCATCGAGGAATTTTTAAAGGGTCCATACTCCCGAAAATTTTGGCCACCTCATTTTATTTGTGGAATCGATAGCCCATGAGGTGAAACTACTCTACCCAAAATATTTGCTCGATTGATTATATAACAAAAAAGTTATGCAGACCACACTGATGACTACACACTGATTAAGTCAAAATTGATACGACGTAGTTATCAAGCAAAAATCAGTGTTTTTGAGAAATTATCTCTCAAGATTAGTTGATCCCAGAAATTTGGATCGTACATCGGATGGGCAAATAAAAAAGCTACAAAACCAGCCTAAAACAAAAAGTTTTTAATCCGTAAAAAAAAAATTTTTTTTTGGGAGTATGGGGTTTCTCGATCCTGTGGTGGACTCTCTCTTAATTATGAAGCCACGTGCATTTTATTATCGAAGAATAATTATACTTTTTTCCTCATGTTTTTTTGTAAAATACTGCATTAAAGTAGTCATTAGCCTAAAAATATATGGGAGTTGCCGGTCAGCCTGATATTCGAATTCCTTTTTTGTACATGCAGTTTCTATAATATATCAGAAAAATACGATTTTTTTTGCCGGTTATAGGTCTCGTATAATGCTGATGATCTGTCAGGGATAAGGAGGTCTATAACTTGTTGAAAACCAAGATAATCAAATCTTCACAAAACATGTTCGTAAATAACAAAAAAGTTTTTTGAAGACACTTGATTATTTTGATTTCCAACAAGTTATAGACCTCCTTATCCCTGACAGATCATCAGCATTATACGAGGACTATAACCGGTAAAAAAAAATCATATTTTTCTGATATATTATAGAAGCTTCACGTACAAAAAAAGAATTGGAGTATCAGATTGACTAGCCACTCCCATATACTTTTTTCTGTTATAATCACAACTGCGTTTTGGCATCATCACACTGCTTCATTCCGCTGAATAATTTATTTTTCATTCCTTTTCACTTGTATTTCTACTTCTCTCATAACGTGTTTTAGTTTATCTACTCATGTAGACAACGATAAAGAAAATTTACATCTTTAGAAAATAAAGAACCTAATCGATTGTGGTGGATTATAATCAGTATTAGTTGATTTTAGACCATTCTTGTGTTAATAATTGTAATCGATTTGAAAACTTAATCGTTTTTTTTAGATTATAATCAGCATCGGATGATTTTAGACGATTCTTACTTTAATGATAATAATCGATTTGAAAACTTGATCGACTTTGTTAGATTATAATCAGTTTCGTTAGATTTTAGATGATTCTGAGATTCATGATTATAATCGATTCGAATACTTAATCGATTTTAGTAGATTATTATCCTTGATAGTTGGTTTAGACGATCAAAAAATCATCAAATACTGATTAAAATTGATTATTCCTAAAAATTGATTCTAATTGATTAATAAAAAATCGTAGCAAACCGATTATAGTTGCTTATAATCGATTTTATTCGATTCCAATGAAAAGAATTGATGATAATCGATGAAAAACCTTTGATTCTGAATCAATTATATAAGGAAATCGATTATAATCTTCAAATTAATCGAAAAAAATCAACATTTCTGGATTTTCATTGATTAATTATGCTTGAAATCGATGGAAATCATGTATTTGTTGATTTTTCTGTTCAATTTTTTTACATAGGTAATAGATCTAGGAAAAAAGAAAAGGCAAATCACTATTCATAATTTCTTTCAAGACTGCATCCCAATTGATGGCGCTGATGTAATTAGTGGGACTCTTTCATCAGTGACTATTTCTTCATTATTATTTGTCTCATTATTATAAAACGTTGTAGATTTGTATTTTCTAAGATAAACAAGCCAAAGTAATGGGCATGTCATAAATGTATTAACAAGTGCCATTATAATAAACATAGTAAATAGACGTGGTGAAAGAATTTTAAGTTGAACACCAATATTTAATGCAATCAGTTCGACTAGACCACGTGTATTCATTAATATCCCAATACTAGCTGAAAATTTCCATGGACGTCGAGTAACAATTTTTGTTACAAAACATCCAGGCAAAAATTTAGTCAAAGCAGCAATAACAGAAATGAGTACAGTAACGGCAACATGAAACTTATCATTTAATGAACCCAAATTTGTTCGCATACCACTAGCAGCAAAAAATAGTGGTAATAATAATTCAACAGTGACTAATTCCAATTTTGGATATAATGTAGTACTAAATTGACCTGATTTAGGACATAAAACACCAACAATGAACGCACCAAAAAATGAATGAATACCAAGTATATCACAAAAGAAAGATGAACCAAGAAGAAGAAGAAAGATACCAACAAGAAATGTACGATTCATTTCATTATCACGTTTAACAAGGAATGAATATGCATGCAAAACCAACCATCGAACAATGGTAAACATAAAGATAACATAACCGATCGCAATTAAAATTATCCTACAAATAGATAAAAATGTAATGCTTAATTCTTGTTCATTGTTTTACTGAACTTCACTTTATGAGATTGAAAAAACAGTAAGTTTGTACATCTACATATTGTACTTACCATAAACCAACAATCTCTGATCCTTTGGCAAATGCACCAGCAATAGCTAATGAACACCAACCCATAATGTCGTTCACGGCCGCACAATTAATTGTTAAAGTACCAATCTGTGTCGATATGAGTTTTGTTGATGAAAGAATGGATGCAAGAACAGGAAAAGCAGTAAATGACATACTCGATGCTGTAAATAGAATGAATGCAACTCGATCAGGTGGTGTAAATCCATTTTGATTGTTAATATCATACAAATAGAAACCAAATGCAGCTCCAGTAGCATATGGTATGACAATAGTAGAAATCGATATTGGAAGAGAAGATTTCCATTGATTTTGAAGTTCTTTTCGTTCAAGTTCTAAACCCATATTGAACATAAATAAAATAAGACCAATATTGCCGACTAATGTAAAATAGTTCCATGATGATAAAGGAAATATATGTGTTGACCAAAATTCGATATTTCCTAGTACTGAAGGACCAACAATTACGCCAGCAATGATCTCACTGATCACCTACATCAAATTAGACATCGTCACCATTAACATACTATATATGCTCTTCACTTACTGATGGCTGTTTGATTAATGCAAGTAACCATCCCATGAGTCGGACGAGGACAAGAATGATAAAGACTTGCATGAGAAAACGAGCCCAATAGTTAACATCCAAAGATGGATCCGCAAATATATCAACCATCGTAGTATGGTTATTATTATTATGAAAAGAAAACGAAAA